CTGCTCTGGGTGACCCTGCTTGGGCAGGGGGTTGGGCTGGGTGACCCCCAGAGGTCCCTGCCAACCCCCACCATTCTGTGATTCTGTGAAAAGAGAATTTGTATCTACCGGAGTTCATAATTCAGACCTCGTGCCTATATCGCCACTGAGAATCATTTTGTAACCTTTTTTTCTAGGCAGCAGAGCAAGGAAGGCCTCCAGAGCACACTAGCAAATTTTACGCGAAGGGAGCACTACAGTATTTGGTCCCAATTCTAACCCAAACGTTAACGAAACAGGTGAGTTGCAAAATCCCTGCTGCACGTCAAAAAATAACGTACTGCGCCCGCTTTCCAGCTCGGGGCCGGGGATGCTGCTGTGGCACGGAGGAGCAGGCTGTCGGTGGTGGTCGTTGCTCCCTTGCAGAGGTGCCTTGGTGGTATGCTTGGTCCCGAAAGCGCTTGAGGACCCCGGGGGCAGTTTTCACTGGTGTGCTTGTCGAGGGCAGCGGCAGTCCGTGGTCTGTGATGAGCCACCATGCACCACTCTGAAGGAATGATGCGTCGGTTTTTAGGGCTGAGACTGTGAGACTGCATGCAGCGTCATTTTTGTGCTGAATTCTGGTAACACAGGCTTGTGTTAATGGTTTCTGAAGAGGTTTGATAGTGATCTGTATTCCTGAGGAAATGTTTGTGGAATTAGAACCAATATACAGTCTCTGTCTCATTAGAGATCCAATTTCTGGAGTTCTTCAGCTTTTCTTTTTGAGCTGTGAAGTCCATGTTTATTTAGTACCTATTAAGCACTTCACAGGGACTTGTTTGGACTGTGTTTCACAGTCTAATCAGAATTAATGGAATCACTTGCTAGAGCAGGTCTAATTATAAAATAAAACTGTTAATTAAACCATACGGGATGGAGTTCATTTGGCTTACTGCGATGAGCTGGGAAAATGCTTGGTGTGCTTAGCAAATCCAGGGCATTGTTTCCCTGTTTGTTTTTGTGGCACTGTCCGCTTGGATGCGGAGAGTTAAATTGCAGGAGGTTCCAAAGGAAAGAAAAAGCGGATAAGGGAAAGGTACGAAGCTTCAAAGGAATTTGGTAAGTGGCTGAGCTAACAGCTGGGGGGGGAGAAGCTATTTAACTGTACAACGGGCCACTCTGCCAGGCGACGGCGTGGATCAAAGGAACAAAGTCTCCACCTGGATGAGAGGGGAGCAGTCTGGGAGATGCACGAGGCTCCTCTAGGTGCGTCAGTACAGAGCTCGCAGCCTTGCGCCGGGGTGGAGGGGTACAGACGATGCAAGGAACTCGGGTTGCCTCTCTGTCAGAGCTGTAGCCAGTACTTCCAGACCTGAATTAATTTCTAGATACAACACCTGATGAGAAGGCAGTGTTACTTGCAGTAGCTCCAGCAGAATGCCACTGCCTGCGGGCGGTGAGGGATATTTTCCCCTGGGCTGACCAGAGGTGCCGTTTTCCTCCTAGGATGAAAACGATGATGACGACGACTGGAACCCCTGCAAAGCAGCGGGAGTCTGCCTCATGCTCCTGGCGACCTGCTGTGAAGATGACATTGTTCCTCATGTGCTGCCCTTTATTAAAGAACACATTAAAAATCCAGATTGGCGATACAGAGATGCAGCTGTGATGGCTTTTGGGTGCATTTTGGAAGGACCAGAGCCGAACCAGCTCAAACCACTAGTCATACAGGTAAGAGTTGTTGTGTTTTCTTGGAGCAAAAGATTTCAGATTTATCCGGAGTAGGACACCTGCTTAGCACATTGTTCTTAATCTGAGGAAAAGCGAAAGGCTTTTAATCATGTTTTAGAGAGATTTGGTCGACCCAAGGCAGGTGGTTGTGTTGCATAGCTCTGGTTCACAGGGACACACAGGACTTCAGAATGCCTGACTCCAGATGCCTCAGTTCTCAAGTCTTACCCCCCCGGGAAAGAACTTTGAGTCTTAAAATGTGAGAACAATGGCCTAACTGGATCTAGACTGTCTTCCCCTTCCCTGTCTATCACAGTCTCCTAGGGAATATGTTAAAATCGGAAACAGTGGCAAACTCACATTTCCATGTGTTGCATTCGATCACATCTTTCTCCTGTCTGCAATGATGTTCTAGGCAATGCCAACTTTAATAGAACTAATGAAGGACCCCAGCGTTGTGGTTCGAGACACAACCGCTTGGACCGTGGGCAGGATCTGCGAGATGCTGCCCGAAGCTGCCATCAATGACATTTACCTCGCTCCGCTGCTGCAGTGTCTGATGGAGGGCCTGAGCGCCGAGCCCAGAGTGGCCTCCAACGTCTGCTGGGTAAGGCAGCCCCGTTGCTGTTGGACATGCGAGGAGTTTCTGACAAAACACAGCTCATATTTGTATAATATGAATATACACACACACACATACATATACTCACACATATATATATATTACTCATACGCTGGAGTGGATTTCAGAAGATGGCTCATGGCTTGGTTGTCCGGCACACACAACTGTTGTTGAGTGTCAGTTATCTCCAGTCTGTTTGGTGGCTCTGGTAGGAAAGAATAAAGGAAGAAATTGATTTTAAGGAGAAAAATGCTAATATTCGCTGAGTGTAGAAGTTGCCTTCGGCTTGAAAATGCTATGGAAACTCCTTGATAAACAGGTTTTTAGAAAAAGCATGTTGGGATTTAGCTTTTTTCCTGGGGGCCGCTGGGCTGCCGGCTTAATCTTACGGGAGAGGCGAGATACCTTGTTTCCCATTACCTAAGCCTGCTCCTGCAGTGGTTCCAGAACTAAATTGAGGAGCATGAGGTTTTTTGTTCACTTCCAGAGCTGCAGTCCCTCGGGTTGGCTTGCTGGCTTTGGTTGTATCATCGTCTTTGTCCCTTACTGCCTTTTAAGAGAGCTGCTCAGTAAGAATTGAGCTGGAGATGAGTATTTGCATGTCAAAACAAGCTTTAGATGTGACAGAATTTGTTCTCTTAGTATTGAGGTCTGAAGACTTCTAGTCAGCACGGAAGCTTTTGCCTGATCTGTTGATCCTGGCAAAAGTCCATGGTAGCTGTGGCTTTTGTCTTCTGCAGATGATGACTGCTACATGTTCTTAGACTGAAATGAAAATCAGGAGGCTTTCAACTCTCTGATTCACCTGTCTCTCAGCACAGTTACAGTCGCCCTGCGGCTGGGAATTTGAGCAGTCCGCAGCCTGGTCTGAACCAGGATGTTAACTCGCAGTGCTGATGCTGGATAGTGGGCACAATCTGCGAACACCCTGCGAGGTTCAGGCAGCCTGCCTTTGCTCGGGTTGATTCTCGACAGCTACCGGTTGCTGAGACCAGTAACGGTGTGCAGACTTCTGGCTGCAGACAGCGCGGCTGCCTCGCGTGTTAGTGTGACAGTTTAGGTCTCTGAAATTTTCACCGCTGTTGCACCAAAGTTCACTGCACTGAGTAATTAGCTGATCAGGAGGGGAGCTGTTAATCTTGCACTGTTTGGGGGTTTTCTTCGTGGTGGTCTGTTAGAATGAAAACTGTTGGAGTATCTGCTTCTGGACTCGTGACAGTAAACTCCGTGGAGTAACAGCAATGGTTGTTCTGTCTTTCAGGCCTTCTCTAGTCTTGCTGAAGCTGCCTATGAAGCTGCAGATGTAGCTGATGATCAGGAAGAACCAGCAACCTACTGCTTATCCTCATCATTTGAGCTAATAGTTCAGAAGCTTCTGGAGACTGCAGATAGGTAACGCTAAACTGCCTGGCTTAAGCTCTGCAAAGATGCTTTGTTTTTTATTACTTCAGGCTGTTGGTCCCCTTTCTCTTGCAGCTCAGATCTGAATGGTGTTTTATCAGAACTGGGCTTTTTTGATATCCCATGGAATATAGAATGCTAATCCCCAGGAACAAAGCTATTCCCACAGCATGATATCTCAGTATTTTGTCCTTATCTGCTTTTTTAGCAAGTCTGGGGTTTCCTCCAAGAGTGCCTCTTCCATGTTTTCCTTTTGAAGTTTCCGAGCCCAGTTTAAGACTGTGCACATCTTTGTACAGCAGTGAGAAGACTCTGCAAGGTTGGCTGCGACAATCAGAATTGCAGCAAGAGATAATTGGAAATCCATGTGTATTGTGCAGTTCGTTTTACGGTGATTGTTTTATGCCGTGGCTGTTGCTGTAGTGTTACATCCCCTTCCATTAGCACCAGGTACTCCCAGGAGAGCTGAGGACCTAGTTTGGCTAGATACTGTCCTTTTCCCAATGAAGTTGAAGTATAAATAGACGAGGCAAAATATTTTCTCGGTTCTGCAGATGGAAGAATAAAGGTAATATTGAACTCATATTCTGCCTTGAAGGTCGCATAAATCCTGACAGCTCAGAGTTCAATCCCTGGATCAGTTCAGTCGTCAGCTGAAGCCTTTTGCTGCAGGTCTGCTTCTTCTGGAGTGGTGTCCCTGTCTGAACAGCTCAGAGTCTAAACTCTTCCTGTCTCATTTGCATCCAACCAGAAGTGTAGTGTCTAGCTCAAGGCTCTGAAGTCCATCAGTCATCTTAGCATAGATCTCAGCTGTCTTTATTTCAGATTTAACACCCTCAGCAACATCTCGGAGGGATGTCAGAGAGCTGGTAATGTATGCTGCTCACCTCTCGAGACCATCGCTTCCCCGGCAGGGTAGCGGCACGCTGGGAGATGAGGGGCTGAGGCTCTTTCTGCTCCTGAACTTGCTGCAGTGACTGAAGATATTGGAAGTCATTATTAACAGTGAATGCAAAAATGTTCCAAAAGTGGCTTCACAAATTTCATTTACTTCCAAGTCTTGGAATACAGGAATGCAAGTGCTTCTGCTTGTCACAACACTAAAATTTAGCTGTTACCAATTTAGTAAAAAAAGAGTCTGTTTCTAAGCAAGCCTGAGCACTGGAAGCTGCAAATATATTCCTTCTGTTACAGGCCTGATGGACACCAGAATAACTTGAGGAGTTCTGCATACGAATCTCTGATGGAAATCGTGAAAAACAGTGCCAAGGACTGTTACCCAGCTGTCCAGAAGACAACTCTGGTCATCATGGAACGACTTCAGCAAGTGCTGCAGATGGAGGTCAGTAAACCCGGGACTTAAAGCCCCGTTCCGGGAAGGGGTTTGAGGAAACTGGGGAGGAGTGATGTTGCTGTTGTGCTGTGATTTCCTCTGGTGTGGAAAAATGAGTTTTATTGACGACTGCGTGTATTATGGTACGATGTTTTTTTATATTTTTATAGATAGCTATATTAAGCTTCCAAACATTACCTCTTGTCTTAAAATATAACAAATATTTAGCATTGAATCTCTGGAACTTGTAGTGCCGTCAAGATCCGCAGGGTTTGCATGGACTGCGATGCAGGCTTTTCACGTGTGGGGTTTTGTTCTTTTTCAGTCTCATATCCAGAGCACTTCCGACAGAATCCAGTTCAACGATCTTCAGTCTCTCCTTTGTGCTACTCTACAGGTAAGCTCGTGTCTCCTGTGTTTGTGTTGGTGGGGAAGAGGCGGTTTTAGAGACGCTGCTGTGTCCCCGAGGATACAGACTTGGTTCTGTTGATGAGATCTGAATGAGGAAATTGGATCTTGTGTCCCAGCTGACGTGTGGGAGGTGACACAAGGTTCAGAAGGCTTCCATAGAGTACAACTTAACAAAATTCAGGGCAATATGAATAAAGAACGCTGTATGCAGCGTGTTAAAGGTTGTGTATGCTTTCAGATTGGCTCTCGTGTTGGCTACAGGCTGAACAATCACTTTGGTTGGCACAGACAAAAAAACTCCTTAACAGCTTTAATTTGTTCATCTGCCTCTTGTGGTTGGTGTTCTTATTTAAAATGGCACTAGTTAAAATGCACTGAATGTCCTTGAAATTAAACATCTGGTAATGAACAGCCCATGTGACTTGGAGTACTAGCACATTTCAGTTCTTTGCTTACTCCTACAAGGTCCATGGAAAACAGACGCTTTTTTTCCCCCAAAATCCGCTCTGGAGATTGATCGGCCTGTCCTCTGAAAAGCGTGGTGTTTGGTATTGAAGCTTTCCTGTGGGACGGGCGGTCCCGTGCTGTCTTGCCTAGCTTGTTCACAGCTACAAGGCGCTGCTGTAAAACTCGAATAGGCGTAGGTTGAGCATCGACACAGCGCTGTGCAGCTCGGAGAAGGAGGGAGCGTTTTCTGCTGGAGGTGTAACAGGGTACTGTGTAATCAGAAATAAAAGTAGAGCTGAGTATCCGTCTCTACTCAGATTTATTCCTTTGCTGGGTGCTGATTCCGGTTCTCTGCAGTTTTCCTTCCGTTCCTGTAATCCCATGAAAGGGAGCCTTTTCCTGGCCTGTTTCTATCAGTTTTAGCTTCCCTTTCTCTTAAGCGAGGTTAGGAGGTCTCCTGGGTGCTGTCTCCAGGTTGTTTAGAGAAATCAGACTTCATCCTGCTTGTTCAGAAGCCCATAGCATCAGCTGTTACCTTCACTCTCCAATTTTTAGGGTAATTTTTCAGATAATGGGTAGATGGGAATAGTCTGTCCTTACGGTGGGCTTTAATGAGGAGACTTCAGCACCTGAGCATCTCTTCTTTTGGCGCAGTGTGATCACTGATCTCTTTCAAGACATCTCTGCCTGTGAGAAGTGTCGTACAGGTGGAATTAAACTGCTAGTTTTAATTTGTAAACGTGTGTTTCTTCATTATCTCAAAATCTGAACCCTAAGTGTTTACAGTACTTGCAGCAGATAATTAAATACCGCTGAATAAAAATCAACAGGGAGGTTTTTTCAGTGTTGCGTAGTCAAATATACTGCTTTGTTAAAGTACTTTTTTCTCTTCTACTGGAAATACAATTATGAACATCTAGCAGAGGAAAAACATTTGTTAATATTTAAATGTAACAAGAAAATCAAGACCAATTATTTAAACACTCAAAGTCGATCTTGTTGGAGTGACTCACTTTGAAGAATCAGACTTGAAATCATTATTTTCCTCTGCAGGTTAAGGAATCGGTCTTTCTCTTTTCATAGGAAATGCAAATTCATTTTAAACACGGATGCATCCGAGCTGTGTTCTGTAGTTCAGGTGCTGAAGGGGACGGTCAGAACGGTGCAGCCGGAGCAGAGCACAGGTTAAGCTCCGGTATTTACCCGGGGCGTTTCCTTGGCCCTCCTGCTCGCTGCGATCTGCCGGAGAACGCAGAGCGCGTGCGTGCTCACCACCCCCTCTGCTCGTCTGCAAGGCAGCCTCTGCTCTCGCCAGCAGTCGGGTTTGCTTTTCAGACACCCCAGTGCTAAACATGGTCCTGTAAACCCATTTTGCATTGGTTGTACCTTGATTTGTTCTGTTCACCCGGGGTAGGAGAGGTTTCACTGCAGTTAGCAGTAGGGGTGTTCTTACGTCGTATTTCTGAGGCTTAATTCTCTGGTTTAGAAGCAAAGCTTATGTGCAACCCATACTTGGCAGTAAGATTGCTGTCACATAGCTGTGATGGAAAAGGGTTTGTTTTTTCACGGGGCCAAATTTGGGCTGGTCACATTTAATGCCAGCTTACAAATGGAAAGCCTGGAGAATAGCCTATGCAGCAGGAAAGGTAAATTCAACTTGTTCTCTAGCTGGGAGATTGAATGCAGCTCAGATGAATGGGACTTTGCACTTGCACTGACAAAGCATATTTTTGCAGCAGCAGACTTCAAACAGCAGCTTCTTTTTCAGCAGCCCAGTGTGGTCACGAGCGTTCAGAGCTAGCACAGGAGATGGAAAGGCACGGTTCGGCCTCGCCTAGATGGAAGCAATCACACTCTCTTTCTCCATCCCCACGCAGAACGTCCTCCGGAAGGTCCAGCACCAGGATGCCTTGCAGATCTCCGACGTGGTGATGGCATCTCTGCTGAGAATGTTCCAGAGCACGGCGGGCTCGGGGGGCGTGCAGGAGGACGCCTTGATGGCGGTCAGCACGCTGGTGGAAGGTCAGTCTTGCGTGGCAGAGCGAGGTTGTGTTCAGGGGGACAGAACTGGTTTGCTTCCTTCACTTTTTGACTGTCATCAAGAAACATTATTAGTTCCTGGTTTTGCTTGAGGTATGGTTTTGACCACACATCTCGCCACATCTCTCCGTGAAGCCGCGGCTGGCCGGTTACGCTAGACTGTTTCATTAATGAACGGTTTGTTTTCTGTTAATAACGTAGCTACGATGCAAGTTCTGCCAGAAGAATACCCTCGTGCTGCTTTGTCCAGTGCCCAGCAGGCTGGGAACCTGTTCTCTTCCTGCCGCGGGACAGGTTTAACGTTACCTTAATGATTCATGCTTGTCACTGCCTGTGACCCCTGGTCGTTTTGTCAGCAGTGGATTTACAGACTTTGTTCTTCTTTAAAAGAAATCACGGTGGCAAAGATCAGCGTTACAGTGGGTCGGAAGGAGTGAAGTGAAAGAAAATTTGGGTTGTGGTGTTCCGGGCAGTTTGAGCTTTGCGGTTCAGGTTTAGGCGGTGGCTGTGGCATCACCTGGAGCTCTCGGAACACGCTCTGCTGGCAGATGCTACGTAGGAGTGTGAAGTTCAGGTGCTGTTGAAAGTCGGCGACTAGCGTCGTTGCCTGCCACCCCTGCCTTACCTCCAGTAAAATCCACACGTGATTCGGGAATGGGTCTCTGGGGAGATCAGTTTGCATGGAGGCTCGTGGTGGGTCTTCCCCTCTTCCTGAGGCCGTTACCCTGGGTGGCCTCTGAGGGTCTGGGCGGGCGACAGGACCTGTTGCTAGTAGAAGTACACGCCTGATTGCTCCCAGAACAGGGGACGCCTTGTGGTGCAGCAGTTTGGGCTGTTTGGGGTAGCCCCTGCCGATGCGAGCATGGTTTGGAGAGCAGGTCTTTGGCAGGTACCCCCCTGCCTGCCTTGGGAACGGGTAGCGGGATCGCCTGAGGAAGCTGGGCAGTGAGTGAGAAGCTTGAGCGGGATATTGCAGGTTAACCAGCGAGTAAAAATGGAAGTGTGTATGCTCTTGGAGCAAGGGCCTTTCTGCTTTTGGGTGGATAGGTCTGCATTCACAGTCTGAGCAAAGCGAGTGACTTGGGGAAGGTGGGAGTTAGCGGAGAAGAGAAGAAATATTTTACTTCAAATATTGCCTAAATATAAACGTAGTGAAGAGTGCCCTGCTTGAACTGCGTGAACCTCTGAAGAGGCTGAGCAGCCGTTTCCGAAAGGAAGACGCGGCAGCAAAGCCATATGGAAAGACGTGGAGTTTTCAGCTGATGCGAAGCAACATGACAGTGCCGAACGCTGTCTGAAGCGTGTCGCCACGTCCCTCTCCCTCTGATGGGTCTGCCCCATCAGGAAGGTCTCAGCATCCTTTCTGAGCACCGGAGGGGGTTGTCTGTCTCCAAAGGCCTGCAAAGAACTCAGTGTTTTGAATCTCAGTGTAGCCCGGGTGGGTGTATCTCACTGATGCCAGTTTTTGTGTGAGAATCATTTTATTATGTTTCTGTGGAACGTACAGGTACTGGGTTTGGCTGGAATGTAATGGTGGGTTTCTGTTTTGTTGGACTCCAGCAAATGCCTCGTCGGTTGGGATTTTCTTCTAACTACAATATTTTCCATGCACAGTCTTAGGTGGAGAGTTTCTGAAGTACATGGATGCCTTCAAGCCGTTCCTTGGCATTGGACTGAAGAACTACGCCGAGTACCAGGTAGAGGCCGCCCTGTGTTCACAATCTCTAAATTCTCATCTGCTCTGAGTTCGGTAGGTGTGTGTCTGTAAAAGACCACAGCTTCTGGTGGTGAAGCCAAAAGCAGAGCCCCGTAGACTTTTCTCTAATTACTGGCTGCACGCACACACTTAGACTCTCTTCTATGTCGTGCAGCAGAAGGCCTTCATTGACTTGCCACCTGGGTTTTCCCAGTGACTGCAGTGGTTGCCCTTGATGGGAAAGAGGTTGCTACTGGCTGTGAATTTCCACTAGCAGGCCAAGTTGTGGTACTCACCGTGGGGTGGCCGTTCAGACCACCCGGCTGCTGAATTTGGTGGCGTTTGCGCAAACCAAGTACCTGTCGCTTTGCTGGTGTCTGGATCTTTTGCCCTCCCCCGTGGTGAAGCAAGCCCAGCTCTTTGCAGCTCTGTGATGTCAATGGTTAACGAAGCAGGGACTCGTCAGCTGCTGTACGAGGGCCCTTATTCTGGGTGGTTTAATGGCTGCAGACTCTCACCACTACTTAGTGCTTTAATAAGCTGGAGCTGTAAGGATGGAGTGTGGAAGCCTGACTCACTGGGTGGGTGTCTTCCTTGCTGTTCTATTTGCAGGTTTGTCTGGCTGCAGTGGGCCTGGTTGGTGACTTATGCAGAGCCCTGCAATCCAACATCTTGCCTTTTTGTGATGAGGTTATGCAGCTGCTCTTGGAGAACTTGGGGGTGAGTGTTTACCTTCTCATTAGCCAGTTAGTAACAGTTGGCTTGCACGCTGAGAAGAAAGTGGGAGGTGGGAGAAGCAGAACTGTTAGGCATGCTCTGAAGATCTCGTGTTTGACAACTATCATGCTTACTATTTGAATGGAATCCAAATTTACTGGGGGGAAGGATTTACATTTCCAGTAAATGTGTTGATTTATTAGCTCCTCCCCCCTTAAAAAGAAGCGCAGCTGAATGTAATGGCGCTGAAATCTCTTCCAGAATGAAAATGTTCATAGGTCTGTGAAGCCTCAGATTCTCTCCGTGTTTGGCGACATTGCCCTTGCCATTGGAGGGGAATTCAAGAAGTACCTAGACGTCGTACTGAACACCCTGCAGCAGGCTTCCCAAGCGCAGGTGGATAAGGTAAGCCGGCGGCGCGCGCTCCGGTTCCGTCATTAAAATCGTAAACGAGTAGGGGCTGCGCACGCGTCGTCGGGGGCATCGCTGAAGTGCGCTGTCCTGTTGCTGTTCCAGTCTGACTATGACATGGTGGATTACCTGAACGAGCTGCGGGAGGGCTGCCTGGAAGCTTACACTGGCATCATCCAGGGACTGAAGGGAGACCAAGAAAACGTTCATCGTGAGTACTCTGTCCTGCCGCGGTGGCTCTGTGCCTGGGGTGATGGGGGCTGGGGGGGGAGGGGGGAAGAACTATGCTTGGCCAAGCTGTGTCACGGTTGTCGTCACGTCCATGGGCACATCCTTGTTCATTCCCTTTTGTGTGGGAGGGAACACTCTGCTGCCACGAGCTGGGAAGAAGTTTAGAGCCCTTTGCTACGGTGCCTCTTCCTCTGGCAGTTTTCCCCCTCGCTATCTCAGAGAGCTTTGCTGGGGCCAGATTCTGGCTGGCTGGGAGCATGCTGGAATCCCTTCTAAAGGGCAGACTATTAAACATGGGCTGTGTTTCACCCTGCTGTAACAAAGCTGTTTTCTTTCAGCGGATGTGATGTTGGTGCAGCCCAGAGTAGAATTTATTCTGTCTTACATTGACCATATTGCTGGAGACGAGGATCACACCGACGGAGTAGTGGCGTGTGCTGCTGGGCTGATAGGGTAAGCGTCCCGATGCCGTTCCGACCGACAGCACGCTCAGTAGAGAGAAAACTTGGTACAACAGCCTTCATGTTTGAAGCTGCGTTTTTATAACCACGTGAAGTATTTAACGTCAGTTCTGGGTTTTTACGGTCTGGTGCTGGGTGTTTAACCCCAGGTGGGAAGTGGTTATGCGGGCGAGGCCCTTGAACTGGCAGGGTGAAAAATAATGGGTAGAAGTGAAGGTTGGATGTGATTTACAGAAATTTCCAGATCTCGGGTTCTTCGAGGGTGACCTGAGCTTAAACTCCGAACACCCCCACCCTCAGTTCCCTGGGCACGGAGGGACTCGGGTCAGGGTGTTTTAATCTTTTCTATTGCATTTAGGGAGAGCTGATGGGAGTGTCAGGGAGATCAGTCTTTGGACAGGAGATTGAGCGTCTCCGGTTAGTCACAATTTCAGAAAACTGTTCAGCTCTTCTGCTGAAATTAGTGACCATATGCAGCGTTTTAAAAAGGACATTAGCTGTGAGTCAGATTTCTTTTTGCTAGCGAGAGCTGATCGGAGTGGTACTGGCACATCTGTTTGTGGCACACAGCCTCAAAGCCTGGCTTTCTTCTGCAGGGATTTGTGTACAGCGTTTGGAAAAGATGTACTGAAATTAGTAGAAGCTAGACCCATGATACATGAACTGCTAGCGGAAGGAAGAAGATCCAAGACGAACAAAACAAAAACCCTCGCTACCTGGGCGACTAAAGAACTGAGAAAACTGAAGAATCAAGCTTGGTAAGGGATTACACCCACCTCCTTTTCATGTTGCATAATTACGAAATTGGCTAAACTCCGGAGCCTGAGAGAGATGCTTCGCAAAGGCAGTGTTCTCTGGAAGGTTGCTTCTCATTGATTTTTCTGTAAACAAGCCCCATCTGTGGTCTTGTCTATCAGAACAGAGACAAAGCGAGAACCACGGTGAAGTGCTTGGCTCTCGCAGGACCGTCACGACCTTGCTGGTCGGGGACGATCCCGCGCTTCTCCAAATGCGCCGTGACTGGAGCCCATTGACTCCTCGGTCCTGCTTGGAGTTCAGGGAGCATCTGGAGGATGCTCGTGGTCACGGCTTAGTGTTAGGCTGCCCTGCGAGGAGCGCAGAGTTGGACTCGATGATCTTTACGGGTCCCTTCCAGCCTGAGGTGCTGTAGGAGTCTGTGGTTCCGCCGACGCGCCTGCTGAAAGGAGCGGATCGCAGAGAGGGGCGCGATGGTGTGCCTGCATTGGGGACAAGAAGTCTGTCACAGCCTTGTCACCCCGCCTTGCGAGGTTCCTCAGTGTCCCTGTCACTGCTCTTTTGGTCAGTTATTTCCACTTACTGCTGGTTTTTTCTCCGGAACGTGGGGCTTTGTGGTGTTGGGGTTGTTTGGGGTTGGTTTTTTTTTTTGATGGATGATTTTTGCTTGCAGATCTGTTACCATTGGGATGACACCTGAGACCCCCACTGGAAATCTCCAATCTTTTGAAAAAACCCGGAAGTGAGGAGTGTGCGCGGATGCTGAATGTTTGGGAATGAGAGGATGAGTGAGTGAGGCTTGAAACACACCACATCGAAAATCCCGCCGCAGCAACAGCAGCAGCGCTGTTAGCCAGCTGAGCACTGACTTGCGTAGACAACCTGGCGTCGGCCGTCTTCGGGAACGAGGGAACGCCCGACTTCTGCCCGAGTAACGAGCGAGTCTCTTCTTCCGACAGACCGGGACTGGCTTCTCTGTCGAGGCCGGCGCAGAAGGGGAACGGCCGGTTTGGAGGAGAGGGAACTGGGTTCAGCTGTGGTGCTCTGTGTCTGAGGTCTGGCTTTGGCTGCTGGAGGGAGACGGAGCCTGGGTCTCCAGCCGCCCGCTGTCGCCTTTGCCGCACGACGCTGTCGGTGCATGGGATGAAAGGAGGGGGTGAAGGATTTTCAGTCTAGGAGTGAGTGTGTGTGAATGAGGCGGTATCCACATTCTCGACTTCAAGTCATTGCAGTTTATCTTTTCCCAAAAAAAAAGGGTTAGCTGTTGCATTTCATAAACTAACCGAAGTTCAGTCTACTGACGCAGCATAAGAGATGTAAAAAAGAAAAGAGGAAAAAGAAAAAAAAAGAAAAAAAAAAAGAAAAAAAAATAAAGGAAAGTCGCTCTTTAGGGCTTTTTATTTTAGGGAAACACTGACGAATGTTCAGAGCTCCCGTTCCGAGTGACGCTTTTCACGGTCCCGTTTCATCAAAGCGCCTTTCCTTCCTTAATATTGTTCAACTGTGAATGTAGAAATGGGGGAAAAACAAAACTCTTGCGTTAGAGGGAATAGAAATAAATTGTCAAACAAGATTACAGGCTTAAAACAAACAACAAAAAAAGCAAAACGAAAATGCAGATGTTAAGTGCTCCGAATTGGCAGTGAGAACGCAAAGGGAAAGATCTCTCCTGACTTGTACTGTAGCAGCCCGAACACCCACAAAAGTTGTGCCAAAGAGTTGAAAAACAAAAGAAAACTGCAGGTAATATTTTGGATTGCAAAATGAGGATAAATTCAATGTTCAAACAGAATCTGATAAAATGCCATTTGGAAACTGCTTGGCCTTTTGTGCTCTTTATTTGATCAAATCTAATGTGGTATTGGTCTCTTGCTGCACTTCAAAAACAAAAAAAGGAAAAAAGAAATTTATATAAAATATATATATACTGACTTGAGCTTACACAAGACGGCACTTGTAAAAGGTTATATTTTTCCACTGCAGTTGAAGATTAATAAAATGGTGTCAAACATTCCCCAATACTTCCTTTTTGTATTCTTGGTCTTTCCAGTAAAAGGGGAACCCATGAACGATGATTTTTTTTTTCCCAATAGAGTAGTGACAGTCTGATGGGCAACGCGGGGGTGAGCTGGCTGTTCACTGCTTCCCCCATCACGCCACGCCGTCTTTTCACGTGAAGGATCAGAACCTCTCGTTTCCTCTTAACGAGGCTTTTGCTTTTGAGGAATAGTCCCTGGCTTGGCAGCAATAAGCCGAGAACGAAGGGAGGAGGTGCAGGGTTTCGAGACTGTTCTTCATTTCGTTGTTACTAATGCAGCTGTGGATGCTACCAGCATTTGAACCTGCGGTTGAACTCGGGCATTTTTCAAAGCTGCTTGTGGGAGGGAGAGTAGAAAACCTTAGCCAGTATTTGTTTTCCTTTTTTTCTCTTTTTTTTTTCTGCAAAGCAGGCGAGGATCTGCTTGATCCCCCAATTCCCTTTTCCCGGTCTGATCCGAGGATCCGTGATGATGGAGTCCGCTCTCGTTGCCCATCTGCGCTGCAGCATCCACCGTAGCTCTTGTACAGGGTATCAGATATGTGCCTTTCAGTGT